TACTTGATTCTCAACATGTAATGGAGCATCAGATATCTATGAACTCGAACTTTGTAAGTACAGATCACTGTTATTGTAGACCTGAGCTTAACTTGGAATGCGAGGACGAAGTCGTGAAATATCCTCTCAATACTCAAAACACTGCTTGTCAGACTGACCTTACACTGGATGTGATAGAAAGACTTGAAAGTGAAYTCAAAGCCTCAACTAATCGTTGTGAAAGCTTGACTGAGAAATTAAATGACAAAAAATCCCTTAAAAGAGAGCTTAACTTGACAGACATTTTACAAGATGATGAATCGATCCGATTTTACACAGGTTTTCCAGATCTTCGCATCTTTGTTCTTATAGGCGTTGACATCTCCTTATGCAGAAAAAATGAAGTACTGGGATAAAAAGAAACAGACAATGTCGTATTATCAAAAAGATCCACCTAAACAAAAACCTGGAAGAAAGAGGCAGTTAAGTGTTACAGAGGAGTTTGTGCTGGTGTTGTGTAAGCTAAGGCTTGGACTTCTAAATAGGCACTTAGGTCAAATGTTTGGGGTGTKCGAATCTTCAATCAGTGACACTGGTGAAAAACGCACTGCRYATGCGTTTCCGAAAAAAAGCAAAATGGCGGAGTATCGAATAATGGTTAAAAAATAGAGGCAAATTTCTAAGTTTTTACTCACTTTTTRAGGACTTGATYGACAAAAGGCACGAAGGTATGTAATACTATAACCGTCAGCACTATTTGTGATTAATTTCTTCTTGAATTTACGGACAATATCGGACTTTTTCTTGTGGAATTCAACTACCATGTGCTCTTGAAAACTAATTCTCAAATTATTTATCATAATATTTCGATTAAATTTCAGGTGATTTMATAAAAGCCAAGTCAAGAATGATACCTCATTGAAAGGAGAATTTGYATTTATGGATTCTGATAAATTTATCAAAAAATTACATGTAAGTAAAAAATTACTTAAGTTTAAGTTTACATGTAAATACATTATGTTGAATGAATTCAAAGCTTTTTAAAACTAGCTACAGAAAGTGAATCATTGTTAAGGTACAAAGGTTAAAGTTTGTAGAAAAGTGTGTACATTTCATCCACTGTAAAAGACTGGAGATATCATTGGCATGACAAGATGCAATCAGTGCTCCATATTGGGAATGTAGATGACTATCAAGAAGAATGATGTTCCTTTGCGCGCCTTTGGCAAACGCAAAGGTATTGGCACGGAATGTGACAATGGCAGAACATGAATTTGATGTGGATTCTATCATCAACCTTAGGTAGTACTCCAAATTGCTTGTGTCAGGATCACCTCTTACTGTCGTGAAATTTACTGGTAATTCTTGGCCAAGTTGAAATTTGCTGATCTGTGATGCAAGAAGTCGTGAGGCCATTTGGACTTGAAGATAGACTGGCGCATGGTGGAACATGTCATCATGAAGTTTGTTTCCTGCAATGATGCTCGAAGTAAGCAATGGTAACCATGTGTGTGAGATGCCATTAGCAAACAATTGAAGGGCTGGCTTTGTATTATGATATC